CTGCTACTACGACAAGTAGTAGTATATTCTTCGTAGTGTTTACTTTAAAATGAAGTAGATACAACATTTCGAAACTACCGGAAATTAGTAAATCTTTTGTTGTGAAATAAATACTTCGTAGAATATACTACTACCTGTAGTAGTAGCAAGTACTTTGTTTTTATTCAGACTACCACCCAATATACGTTAGTATTGGGTTTGCTATTAATCCATAATATGCATGAAACTTCATCAAAGAAGCAGAATAGCAGAGGAATATTAAAAAAAGGAAGATGTTGTTCAGAAATATTCTTCTGAAAAGGCATGAACAAGGGGTTTGCCGTAATAATATGTATTTGAAAATAAAACAAGCACACAAGCAAGCAAATCAATTTATTTTTGTTAGGTATTGTTTTATTGTTTTTTGTTTGAGGTTAGTTTATTTGTGTATGTAGAAATCAAACAAAGATGAGAAATGTTTAGACAAAGACAGAAAAAAAAATCGCAAGAAAGTTGAAAATGGTTCAACTTTATTGCGGATCCGCAAAAAAGTTGACGTTTTCCCGCCAACGGAATTATTTCAAAAATTCCGCACCCGCAATCCGGAATTCCGCATCATGAGAACTAGGCTTAAGAGCGAGAGGACAACCCTAATTTCAAGAAAAGCTCGTTTAAAAAGTTGCTCCGTGAACTTGGTTTTCGGTATGGTAGAAGAAGTCGAAATAGCATGCTAAAAGAAAAAAATGAAATTGTGAGCTGGAGGCGACGCTATTTACGGAATATCCGAGCAGTAAGGGCGAGTGGAAAAAAGATTTATTATCTGGACGAAACCTGGATTAATGCTGGCCATGTCACTCCAAAAGTATGGAGCGGCGAAACTGTCACTACGGCGAGGCAAGCTTTCGTAAATGGACTATCTACAGGACTGAAGAATCCCACAGGTAAAGGACAAAGGAATATTACATATTGGTTCAGACGATGGATTTGTTGAGAACGGCTTGCTCCTCTTTCAGTCAAAGAAAACTGGAGACTATCACGAGGAAATGAATTCCCAAGTCTTGGAGCAATGGTTTGAAAATATTTTACCTCGCTTGGAAGAAAATTGTGATGGACAATGCATCTTACCATTCTAGAAAAATTGATAAGAAACCGACATCATCTACGAAAAAAGCTGATATACAATCCTGGCTAACTAGGAAAAATATAGGCTTTGAAGAGGATATGGTGAAGGCAGAACTATTAACGCTCGTAAACGAAAGTTTTCACAAGAACCAATACGTAATTGATGAAATGGCCAGAGCTTGCAATAGAACAGTCGAAAGATTACCTCCGTACCACTGCGAATTAAATCAGATTGAGTTGATATGGGCACAAATCAAAGGAGAAGTGGCCCGAAAAAATACAACCTTCAAAATTGCAGATGTTGAAATTTTTTTTAATGAAGCAGTCTACAACGTTAGTCCTGAAAATTTGAAAAATGCTGTTGAGCATGTGCTGAAAGTGGAGACAAGTATGTGGACTATGGATGCTATGATGGAAACCAGAATAGAGCCCCTGATTGTTAACTTTGATGGTGATGAATCATCATCATCGTCATCCGACTCGGAATAATTTCTCCGCATCCGCGTTTTCATGTTTAGCTTTTTTCCTAATAAATTGCATTTGTTATTAAATTAGGTAGGTAGTCACCTATACATTTTATCCAAATCGCTCTTTTAATATTAAACAAATTGTCTATGCCAAATAAAAAAATTATGTGATTATAGCTAAATACTTATAAATATATTACTCATTATTATAAATAATAACATTTGTTTTATTTAAAATCGAGTGTTTCTCAATCTCAGCATACACATAAATTTGTAATTTTTTTTTCTATTTATCCCTCAGTAATAAAATAGGTACCCATCCTTAGGTATATAAACGTCATCAAATAATAACAATAGCCTATTTTTGGATGTAGTAATGCTTGGTGTTCAGCGCCGGTTCAAGGCTCTACGGGGCCCTAGGCGGCAGAAGGTATGAGGCCTTAGCCCAAAGTAACTTTTTACTGTTTTTGTCCAAATTGAAAAAAAAGCCTTTCAAAATGCTGCTCGAAAGTGTTTTGGAACATTCTAAATGGCTTTTTGCAGTTCTAAAGTGTTCTAACTTGGCTTGAAGAGTTCTGGAGCATTCTAGAAGTTTTTCAGTAATTTCTAAATTGTTCTGACAGATTTTTAAGTAGAGCCCTATTGAAGCTCCAAAAAGTTCTAAATTGGTTCAAAAAAGTTCTAAAAGGTTTCCAGTTCTAAATTAGGATTAAATTTAGAACTTTGGAATTGTTCTAAAATAACTCTGAAGTTTCTCAATTGCTCCAAAATGCTCCTGAAAATTCTGAGTTAGATTTGAACTGTTTTAAATGCCTTTAAAGAGTTATAAAGTTCTACGCAATCAAAATTTGCTCTAAAAATCCTTCTGAAAGGCGTTTTGTAATATTGTCACGCTTAAGTTGGTTGTGGTCAGCGGTGCCACCACTTTTACTTCGCTTGGCTGCGTTCACTAAGGGTTTATCTGAAAAGAGAGGATATGGGGGGAAGGAATACCACCACGAATATTATATTTGTTTTATTACTAAACCTTAATTACACCTTATAGTTCAAGAAGATTTACCAAAATCCTAACACCGCAGATGTTCGTCCCTGGTGGACCATGTTTTCGATTGTCAACTCGAAATGTAAGAATGTTTAATTTTTAATGAAACCCAAGATGCACTAAAAAACGAGCCCCTAAGGGCGTAGTTCTCGTAGGTCTAAACTTGGGGACGCTGTGACACGGCCGCTATAGACGAGACCTTCATACAAAAGTTTCACAGTCTCGACTATACCTAGTTGTACCCAGCTAAGAAGGCAGGTCTTTAGGCTCGTACCTTATCAGGCATAAAGCAGTCCAGACCAACCTTGCCTTGCATTGCCGCAGTGCCTGAATTTATATTGAAATTATTGCTGGCATAAGCAAAATCGGTCTGTTTTTAATAGTCCGGGGTGACCTCCTTTGGAAATTTACTTAATTTATGTAATGCGTGGGCTTGTGTACGTTTATGAGTTGACAATATTTAATCTGAATCCCAAGATTCTGGCGCTTTTCAAAATGTTTCTGGGGATTCCAGAGTGTCTGAGTTTGAGTGTTTTAGAGCGTCCTAAAAGGGGTTTCAACCTTCTGAGTTGTTCTAAAATGCTTTTAGAAATCGGTGTTTGATCGTTTTGGGGCATTCTAAAATGGTTCTGAAATTTCCAAAATTTTCTGAAGCGCTACAAAATGCTTTTGGAAATTCTGAATTTAATTTTAAATGTTTTGAACTTTCCAAAAGGTCTATTGAAGTTCTAAAGTGTTCTGTAGCATGTTAAATGGTTTCCAGTAACTTCTAAATTAAATGAAAAACGAATTCTGTGGAAAATTTTTCCCAAAGACGTCCCTAAGATGTCCATAAACGACATTCAAGGCGTCTTGCCTAAGTCTCAAAGACTTCTTGAAGATGTCGTAATGTAACAAAACCCAACGTCTTCCAGAGATGTCTTCAGCACTAAGACATTCCAAAGACTACTTCAAATCTTCAAAGAGATGTCTCAAAGACGTTTTTGAATCTCGTTTCAATACATAAATCATTATTCACTTTTAGGATTGAAAAAGAGAAAGATGAATTTGCGACATTTTATATGGACATCTTCAAAACAACGTCTTCTAGGCGTCTTTTTTTAGTCTTCAGACGTTCAGACGTAATCGTAATACAGACCCTAGAAAAGACGTGTCTTCAAGACTTTGTGTGCTGTCTGGGTAGTGGAACATCGCGTATCTATTATCTATTACTCGTTTAACGGATGTTCATCAGCAACATAATAAGGTTGCATGGATTCTACCTGAGTTGGGAATCCCACAGCTACAGAACAGTGTTGCCGAAAGTGTGCGTAATTCGGGTAGTGTGGTGCGTCTCAGGGCGCAAGGTTGCCAAAATAAGATATTTGATTTCAGAGTGAATTTCGGGCCCCATTGAGCGCCCGGGCCCTAGGCAGCTGCCTAGTCCGCCTAATGCTTGAACCGGCACTGTTGGTATTAATGAACCCCATGTGGCCATTGATGAAAAGTCGTCTTCCATAAAGTTAGCAGTTTAAGCATAATTTCAGCCTAAATTATAAAAATAGAACAACAAAATGTAACTTTCTTAATTATATGACAGAATCTGAACTTTAGAATTTAATGAGAGAAATATTCCAGTAGTTGCTATACGTAATATTGATTTAGGAACAACAGAGTCACAGCTTGATCAATGTAAAATTGATTGATGATTAAGTTTTCCATTGTATTGATAAAAAAGTTATTGAAAAACAAAATAAAAGTTTAACTTTATGCAAAAATATGGTAATTATTTATCCTCATGCGTAATAAAGTAATAGTTTGATTTTAAACTGTTGATCCAAGGTTGTATTGATAAGGATAATTTATTCCCTATTCCAACGAATTTGATCGAATCTAATAAAATTCGAGGGCAAATTGAACAAAAATTACTAAGAAATGATTAAAAATATCCCCCACAAAATTCTCTCGTGGCAGAAATTTTTCTCGCAAGTTCCTGTAATACCTCATTAACCTTAATGAGAACTTGAAATTCTATAGCCAGTCTATGCGCGCCATAATATTTAAATAAAGTAGCTGTAAGAAGCTAGATATCGGATAATGAAACTTGAAAGTTCCCTGAGAAATTTTATATTCTCTAAAGTTTGAGCAATAGATGTTTCCCTAGACAGTTGTTTTAAAAATGTTATGTTAATTCTAATATTTTTTTTATATTTTTCAAAAAGCTTCATCTTTGAATCAAAAATATCCTTTAACATCTGATAACAAGTTTGTTAACAAGATTTTATAAGCCACTATATTGAAAAAACCAAACATTATCATGAAGATAAGCAAATTACAAATTACTAGGAAGAAATTCCGCCTTAACAATTTTTCCATTTATCGCAAACTGAATTTTTTCAACAAATTCCTAGTCAAATTGCAAAATTCTCCAATACCATTAGCACTATATAAATACGGACAACCTATTCACTGACACCATCACAACAAAATCGAAGATGAACCAAAAAGCATATTCGGTTTTGTTTTGTGCCCTTTTGGCCAGCACTTTCGTACACGGTAAGAACAATTTGCACTCATATATTTATTTATTTCTTTCAAAAATTTTCATTTCAGAACTGAGAGCTAAGGGTGTAGCACCAGTTAGCTCTCGTTTGGAAGCGTTCGAAAGGTCAGCACCTAAGGAAATCTGCGAATTGGTAAGCGATAATTTCTTTTGGAATTGTTTTCTTTTATATTTTTTTGTATATTTAGAAATGTTCGTTCAATGAAACCGTAACAATATCCTCGGGACTTACCATCGTGGTAGTGGAGGAGGTTTTGGTTATTGCCAATCTATCATCCAGTGTGGCCCTTTTAATAGACGTATCTGCTCAGATTGTCGTTTTGTTAGATGGTAAAAGAATTTCCCTAAAAAGTTTCAGTTACCTAAGAAATTTTTAAATAATTTCCAGGAACTACTGGCGCTGGTATAGCCATAGACCTAACTACACAAACCGGAGTTCACATTGAAAGCGGACTATGGGTAAAATCTAAAGTCACCATTGACGTATTTATTAAATCTCTAAAAGGCGGATTAAGTGCCATATTAAAAATAACCGGAGGCAAGTCTCGAACGTATTTAAATTTTCAAAAATTGAAATATTCTAATTTTAGCCATCAAGTTTTCACTAAAATCAGCTTCTGCTAAAATTCTGAAACTGGTCAACCAAATCATCGTCAAATTGATAGCTGATATTGATGCCCAACTAGTTCAAGACGCGTCATTTGGCCTCAAGCTAATCATAGCCATCAGCTCTCAACTTATAGGGTTACTGAAGGGATCCCTGAAAGGATTACTCAAAGTAAGTAATTTCGTGCTACCTACTTTGAGCTATTATTGAATAAAAATTTTAGGTTATTGGATCTGTAGCTATTAAGCTCACCAACGATCTTGCAGGATTATTGAACGCTTTGGATGGGCTGGCATCTATTGTTGTGAAAGTTGCAGGTAACGACTATTTGTTATACAAAATTGCTGTCAATGTATTAATTATTATTATTTTCTTTTAGGCAATCTAACAGCATTACTTGAAGCTGGAGTCGTTCTCAATTTGTCCCTTATCCTGTCAGCATCCACCGGCTTGGAAGTTTTGATCAACATTCTGCTCCAAATTGGAGCTGTAATCAATATAGGAGAAAAACTTGGAGCAATTCTCAACGATCCCGAAAGCTTATTCAAACTTCTAGCTCAATTAGGCGGAAACACTGCCATTGGTATCAGTGGAGCTCTTTTGGTTGTTGCTGATATAATAGCTTTAATCAACGGCCATCAAACCATCGAACAAGTTATTAGTATCATAATTCAATTTATATCAGTGTCTGTTCATAAAACTACCCAAGACTTAGGAATCGTTCTGAAAGCTACTTTGGAAGGCTTGTTGGAGGTCTTAAGTCATCTTAAGGCTACTGCAGGACTTAAAGCACTCATTACCACCATCCAGGCTTTGATTGATGGAACTTTAGTCATAGGTTTGTCAATGAATTATTAATGCAAATCAATGCTTATAATTATTTTAGGTGGAGTCAACATTTCGACTATCCTAGCTAAACTGCTAGCACCATTGCATACTAGCTCATCATCTCCCTTGGAAGTTGTAATTTGGATAGTGCTTCAACTTAAAGGCATCGTTCAAATTTCATTGCTGATTCCTTATATTTTACTTGTTTTGATTGTCAAACTGAATAGTGCTTTGGGGGTAAGTGAAATAAGACTTGTTAGAAATTCTCTAAGCAAATTCTAATTGTAGCTTCAACAACTTATCGCTTTGGGTATCAAAATTAATGCAGACATCAGTTCGGCAGCAGGAGGTATTCTGAAATCTCTTCTGAAAAATGTGTTGTCCATCATTACTGGTTTGCTAACTGGGCGCTTCTATGATGTTTTAATTAAGCTACCAGGAATTGGAACGATTATTAAAGCTTTGGATGCAGCCCTTTCCGCTGCAACCAAAGGAGAATTCAGCCTCAAAGCTTTACTGAACGGAAGTACCAGCGTTAAGGATCTGATCAAAGGATTGTTGCAAGTTGTAACAGGAATCCACTTGGGATGTTCTTCGGCAATACTTGCACAAATTAAGGCCATCTTGGAAGTTACTGGTAGCGCCAGCGCATGCGTGCACGTTAATGTCACTACTAGTATTACTGTTGGTGGCTAAATCAAAAACCCAATTTCAATTCAAATTTTTTTATATAATTAGTGGTGTTTGTGTTATTTAACAGAAAATAAAAATGGTATGCACACTGATTGTTTTGTTTTATTTCCCAAAAATATCATTGGTCTGATGATCATGATATGACCAGTATTGTCGGATCCCGTTGTAACGATACTTGTTTTTTTCTGTATGTACCAGTACCTACGAATTTTTTAATTTACAGTAGTTGTCACTTATCAAGTATTCAGATATAGTTCACGTTGTAAATTTATTTCCGCTGTTTCGCACAAAAGGTGCATTAGACAAAGATATTAGAGGATTTGTTATCTTTATAAACCTCGAACCGCCGAAAGTCTATTTAACACGGGTAGTTTTTCTGAGGCACGTGACAAGACTTGGTTGCATTCTTTTATGGAAAAATGATCCCTCCTATGTATTATGCTTAGGTTTTCAATTAAAATACTTCATATAAAAATTATACATATTCCACTAGACTACGAGACAAGATGACAAGACCAAAGGAATCACCTGCTGGTGTAACTACTGGTGCATGTCAACTAATAATCTGAAGCTATTGCCACGTATTGGCGACATAAACCAAAAACTTATAATACATCTTCCCTTTTTTTTTTCAACATTCATAACACTACTGCTAAAAAACTAAAAATAACAAAGTAAGATTATAGCTACAAATTCAGTTTAACAGGTTTTTTGATTATGCGTCCTGATCTTGTTCTTGAGTTACTGTTAATTTGGTCATTAGTGGATGAACCACTGGAATGAGCACAATTTCGAACAGCCAAATTTTGTGAATGTTCATAGGGGGACGCACATATATTTACACTTGCATCATATTCTTGAAAAATTACCTGTTCACTTAGATCTTGATGATTTACTTGATTAAATTCTTTATTGGATTTTTTAAGATCAAATCTATTCCTGATTGATCCACTATCTTATGTGATCTAGGAGCCTTATCAAGTTCTATGACTTTACCTGGCTCCCATCTTTGATTACATAAAAATCTTAATAAATCTTGTTTATTGATTGGAGTAGGCATATCTACTATGACTGCTTTGACATAATTATCACTAGGCTCAATTCCCCTTTTTGAAAAAATTTGACTAATAAATCTCACTTAAATTTTGGTCATGAGTTACATACGGCTCCACATTGTATATTTTATTTAATCGGCATATTATTTTACCTTAGCTTGCATTCTGTATTCTTTTGAATAGCTTCTACTTGCCGAGCGTCGTCAGTCAGAGCTTTGCATTCACTTCCGACGTCTCGAAATTTAATAAATATTAAACGTAAGAATATTGTAATAGTTTTAAGTCAAATAAGTTTGTTTTTAAAAAATCGTACATCGCGTACTGATTTGTAACTGGCGCAGTCGGTAGGATAGTCAGGAATCAATACATCGATTATCGATTTATCGTGAAACGGTTTGGGATTTTTGATTGAACATCAGAAACTTTCGGCCGTGACTACGAAAAGTGTTCGTGTGCGTAAAGCGACGGCATTTTGAGAATTGATAAGAAACTCTATCAATTCTGCGAGGACTTAGTGCTTTTGGACTTGGATTACAAAATTGCCACCAGAGGACTGAGGTCTTATAGTACCACCTAGACATAAGAAGAAAACTCTATGGCACGAAAATTGATAGCATATTTTATGTAAGTGCAATTTGTAAATGTCTGATTTGGACGATTTAATTAACTCTTTTGAAAGTATTGAGATAAACGATAATAGCTCTGACTCCGCTTCAAATACAGAAGTGTTAACTGATCAATCTAATAATCAATTAGAAACTGAAAGTAATAATCAATTAGAAAGTGAAAATAATATTTTTACCTATTGATAGCCCAAACTTAGATTTAACTGCTTTTGCACAAACTATAACGCTTTTGCGAAGTCAACAAAATTTAAACTTTTCTCCTTTAAATATTGCTACAGTAAATTTACCAGTAACTATGGCTCAATTTAAACCCGAATATTTAAGTTGTGTCCCAAAATTCGAGGGAAACCCTTGCGAGCTAAACAGATATTTAGCGACTTGCAAATCTCCCATAGATAATTTTTATGATACTGTAAATGTAAATTGTTTCCAAAATATATTTTTAAAAAACTCTCTTATAGGTAAACTTGCTGGCCATGCTAGGTTAGTGGTTAATATTCAGAATGTCTCCACCTGGAACGGTCTCAAAAACACATTGACTAGACATTTCGCGGACAGACGCGACGAGTCTTGTTTGAATAGAGACCTTGTTTTAACCAAACAAAATGCTAATGAGATCCCTCAATCTTACTATGATAGAATTCTCGAATTACTCAATTTACTCTGCAGTTACGTAGATGCTCACGACGATGTGGCTACTGCCCAAATAAAACGAAATTCGTATACAGAACTTGCTTTAAAAACATTCTTGGCCGGTTTAAGAGAACCTTTAGGCAACACAATTCGTTGTATGTCACCAAAAGATTAAGCTGATGCCATACAACTTGTTATTCGAGAGAGTAACACAAAATATTTTCAAAATCAACCCAATCATAATAATAGCAATGCAAATCATACAAAACCAAAACTTCAACAGCATCAATTTCGAATTAATGGTCCAACCAGAAATTTTGGTTATAATAACTATACACCAAATCAGTTTAGGCAGCCCTTTCCGTCACAACCTATCAATATTAGACCTAATGCAAACATCCGCCTACAATAGTTCTTTTCTAACTCCCAAGTTTTTGGTAAACCAAAACAAACAAACATATTCAGACAAAATCCTGGAAAAATCTTGCCAAAGCCTACACCAATGTCAGGTGTAAGTCTCCAAAACACCTATAAAGTTTCACACCAGTGACTCAAGCATCAAATTTTCAGCAACCACAACAACAGTACCAGCAACAGCCCAAATATGCATTTGAAGAATTATTTACTACAGAACTAGATCCAACTTCTGAAGAATATCAATACAGTTATTCAAACGTCATCAATCAAACGTACCTCGAAAATAATGCATATTATGATGAACAGCAGATCTATAACCCCGAAAATTCTTATTATTATTATGCTGACCCAGCACAGATAAATTATACAAATGAAACTCAAGAAGAACCGACCACATCAAATCAGGCTGTGGAATCAAATTTTCAGGAATCAGCCGAAGACAATCGGAATATTTGACGGAATCGCCCCCAGTGATTTCATTAAATTTAAATAACACCAGTGAACTCTTATACATAGTGTTTCCTGAATACAACGTCAAAATTTTAATTGATTCAGGTTCCACAAAATCTTTTATTGACCCAAATATAGCATTTAAATTCTTTCCGAATTTCGTTATTAACGATCCTTTCATCGATAGTACGGTATTCCAGAAATCAGCCCATAAACATAGTGCTAACATACCAGCACCTAAAATATTTAATTTACCCAAAAAAGGAAAAACTCAAATTTTACCTTTCAAATTCCATAACAGTCCGGAGGTTAACAGCAGAATATGACCTCCACCTTGCAAATCGTGATACCGCTATGAAACTTTGCACGAATGTTGTCCACACCCATACCTTCGATTTGAGATATGGAGCCACTTGGGAGCCCCTTGCGTTCGGGCCGAATTTTGATATTGCCATGGATGTACACTGTAGTTGACATCCATATGTCATTGGGTCTGGTTGCCTACCTTCCCAGGGGCAGGAAATATTCAAGAAACGTATCTACGGGCTGTGGATTGCGTGAAGCCGCTCTCGACGCACACGCACACAAGGACGCACCCACACACACGCGCACATACACACACACACACACACACCAGGTGACGTCACTTCCTTTTGGTGCGCGCCCTGCCTGACTACTCACCGCCTGCTACGCACGCCAGCCGCCGGGCGCTGCGTGGTGGGCGGCGGAGGGTGGGGAGGTATTCCCCTGTCCATCGCGGCATTGTTGCCGATCCTGTAGAAACCTGTTGCGCATGGATTTGTTTTGATCTAATATTTTGCGTTAAAATAAGTGTGTTCGGTGCTTTGTAATGCGTTGACATTGGACGAAGTGACTGTGGAGTGGATCCGTGTTCTGTGGTGAGTTTGATTTTCAGTCGTCATTGTTTTTAAACAGTTTAATTGAGTAGTTAAGCAGAATTAGGTTAGGTAGTTCGCGATTGTTCGTGTCATTACTTGCTGTCTGTTTTTTTTTTTGCTTTAATGGGGCATCTGTTGAGTGTCCCATATAGTGATTCTCTTTACTTTGTATCTCACCTCAGGTGCAGACATGGAGTCAGTATTTAAATTAATCAATTTGAATGATTCTTCTAGAGTCGCCACGAAAAGTGCCGATCTCAGTTGATTGGGACAAATGTTTTATTTGTCAGGAGCACACAAAGGAGGAGGTTGTGAAACCATCAAATAGTAAAAGAGTGGCTAATAATGCGTTCACGAGTCTTGCAAGTAATTTAGAGAGCTTTGCGTCTCTTGGATGTCTACCTGAAAAAGTTAACTTAGCCGTGCTTAAAGGAGAAGAAGGATTAGAAAAAATTCTACGGGCTAACTCTGCAGTCTATCACAAATCGTGTGCTTTGAAGTACAATAAAACCAAGTTGGAAAGGGCTACTAATAAAAGAAAACTTGGTCAAGAAAATGTGCCACCTACTTCACCAGTTAAGACACGCAAGACATTGGGTGGTATGAATAAAAACTGAGTTAAAACTCGGAGTATATACTCGTGAGCATGAGTATGAAGTCTGAGCTTATACTCCATTTCGTAGGAATAAAAAAGATTTCGGTTTGACAAGTACATACTCCTAGTACATAGAGTAGATACTCAACATTTTATTCTGCTTACCACCGTTCTTTCGCCTCTATATCCTATTCACAATCCGATGTCCACCAGTACAGGTAAATTTATCACCTTTTCCTATCAAATAGCATTGAAAGGTGATAAATTTTACCTGTACCTGTGGACATCGGATTGTGAATGGATAATATTATATCCGCATGACTGCGGGGAAATTTGATCCATCGTTCACTTTGCTGAATTATCTTATCAGCTACGTCCAATACAACTTTAGACACCGAAGTTTGGTGAACACCAACATCTTTG